GAGAAGTACGCCTGTAATCTCTGTCTTAGGATCTGAGACAGGAAGACAGGGAGTTCAAGACCACAGTGAGACTGCCTCAGAGGGGAGCCAGATTGCCCCAGATACGTTTGAGCTTTCTGGCTGGAGTTGCGTGTCAGGTAGGGTATCCAAAAGCTAGAATACTGGTTTGTGGGCCCGCAGTGAGTAGTCTTGAGGTGATATGGGGTGATATAGATGCCAGAAGACTAAAGTGACAAATGGGGCATTTAAAAAAAATAAGCGTGTGTGTGTGTGGAGGAGAAGTAGAGTACATTGATTTAGGGAAGATATTGGACACAGACAAAACTGAGAAATGAGTATGTCGAAGCCAGTGTTTGTCTCCTAGACTGTTACAGAAGGTCTATGAGTAGGTTGTTTATGAATGTCAGAAAGAGGTCAGCAGGAACCAGCCTGAGGTTGGTCGTCTCAGCCTGAACAGAACTCCAGCCTGGACATGTGATTATTATTTGAATGCAGTTAATTAGACAGGTGGAAGGGGTGAAAGCTACTGTTTATGTGTTTTGATTTTGGTAAGGAAATATAGAAAAAAAAAAGCCTGCCTTTAATACGAAATGAAGAAATATGGTCCTGGAGATAGCACTTGCCAGGTAATTGATCTTGAGAAGAATGTGGAATAATGGGTAAAAATCAATTTACAGAGGAGATGGATCAATAGGAAGCAAAGTAGACTCCTGCCCCTGATTCATAAATACCAGCTGTGTGGGGTAGAAGCTGAAGCAGATGATGCAGGAGGTCCAGGCTTTGGGCTAGTTAAACACAGTAAGAATTGAGCGTGTGGGCCAGGCGGTGGTGGTGCACGCCTTTAATCCCAGCACTTGGGAGGCAGAGGCAGGTGGATTTCTGAGTTCGAGGCCAGCCTGGTCTACAGAGTGAGTTCCAGGACAGCCAGGACTACACAGAGAAACCCTGTCTCGAAAAACAAAACAAAACAAAACAAAAAGAATTGAGCGTGTGATCACAATGTCAGGAAGTCATTGGAAATCCAAGCTGCACCCACACAGGTCCCTGTGAAGACAGACCCAGGCTTCTGCTCAGGTTGGTGAAACTGCCACCCAGTCTGAGTGCTCCCTTTGGAGAGAAAGGAGCTCACCTCTCCATATTGAGAAGTGGTTCGTGATATCTTTCCAAGAACACGACACCATCAGGCAGAAGCACTTGGTAAATAAAGATATAAAGTCGATTTTCCCCTTCCTTCCTTCCTTTCCCTTTCCTTCCTTCCTTCTTTTCCATTTCTTTCCTTCTTTCTCTTTTGAATCAAAGAGAATTCACTTTTTAAAAGATTTTTTAAAAATTTAAATTAGAGGTACATGTGTGCATGTATGTGTGTGGGTATATGTGTATGTATATGTATATGAATACACGTGCATACTTCGCATGTGCATATTTCAGCACGTGCTTACACGAGTGTAAGCATGCAGGTGCCCAAGGAGACCAGAAGTGTGGCATCTCCTTGAGCTGGAGTTACAGGTAGTTGTGAATTGCCCATCATGGGTGCTAGGAACTGAGCTGGGGTCCTCTTGCAGGGCAGGATGTCCTCTTGAACTCTTTAAGAGCCTCCTCGTCAGCCCTATGAGGCATAGTTTTCTTGGGAGAGAAGGATAGCTGTCAGACTGTATTCCAGTAGGACGGCTTCCCTCAGTGGAAACACCTGACACCCTAGCGGTGTCCGGATGTGGTCAGATGAACAGGACCGGATGGGGATAATGAACATATAAATCAGGATGTGTCTGTCCGTGGGTGGGAAGACAGGCCATGGATGGTTCACAGGGAGCAGGGCTCACTAATGGGATGTGTGGCATGACAAAGACCAGCTGTGGCTATGAATATCCGTTGCCTCCGCCTTCCATGTGGCTCATCGATGCATCTGGTTTATTTCACATTTTATTTTGTCCACACTCACCCTATAATGATCAGAAGCTGAATCACCTGATCGATTAAAATCCCCCTGTCCTTATAACTGTTCATTGTACCTGGTTTTACCTCCTTCATTTTCAGAAATCCATGACTGTAAATGCCTTGTGAATCTTCCCTCACAGAGCATCTCGTTGGACATTCAGTGAGCTTTCTATTGTGTGGAGATATCAAAATTAATAACATAGCAAAAAAAAAAAAAACATAGCCAGGAAAGCAGGAGCCCTGGGCATTCTGAGCAGTTATGATGTCTGCATTTACCATGGAGCTTATCCAATTACAAAGAGTCTGGAAGCCCAACACAGGAACAGGGAAATGAAAAGTCTGCTGGCCAGCAACCTGACTGTGCCTCGACCTCCACAAGGGACTGGAGGTCTGTGATAAAAATGTAAAGAGAAAACACAAGATGTGGCAGGAATGTGGACACACTAGGAACTCAAAGGATTCCTAGAAAATTAAAGAGAAGACCAGAGGGGTTGACACTGTGTCTGTGTGTCCTTCCATGTGCTACACGTTATGTGCAAAATCTTTTTGTTTTCTAAAATCTCCTAGTTAGCTGTAGTTTTTTATTATTTAACCGAATAGAAATAAAAGGTGCCTCTTTATTATAAGTCTTAAATTCTTTTTTTACATTTATTTATTTATTTATTTATTTAGTGTGTGTGTGTGGTCCATATGCATCTTGTTCTGCACGTAGAGGTCGCCCTTGCACTCTGAACCATCTTGCTTGTGCCGTGAAAAGTCTAAAGCATTCCTTAAGTCAGTCTCTGGTGAGAAACCATAGTCTCATTTTTACCTAGGAGACCCAAGTGCGTTTATACTTCCTTCCAAGTCACCTTGTGAAATACAGATTAATGTGACCTGACAGATTGTAATTACTACCAAACAGCATCTTCATTAATTATAATGAGCAAACCAGCCCCGAAGTGTTCCATTCTATGGTGTTAACATGAATCAGAAAATATCAAGTCTGGACCTGAGTTGTTGCTCGGGTAAAGTTTGATCTCAGCTAAACGGTATAAAACAGAAACAGGCCATCAGATTTCACAGGAGATTCAGTGGGGCTCGTGTTCCATGCAGCTTCAAGTGTTTTCTGTTGGTGGTTTATAGACAGGGTTCTTACTATCAGCCCAGGCTGGTCTTGAACCTTTAATCCTCCTGCCTCAGCGTTCTGAGTGCAGAAACCACAGGCATGCACCACTGCGCCCTGAAACTTAATGCATATTTAATGTAAATGTGTGACAAGTGACATAAAGAGGATGAAGAAAAGGTGAGTGCAGTGTGGGACTTCTGAGATTGTAAAATCGCATCCAGTTTCTGACAGCAACTGTTCTTTTTCGGTAGGCAGAAGCTGCTCCAAAAGCCCCACTAGGAAGGAAGTGGAGCCGGAAATGGGGCTGGGTACCGGAAGCCTTCTGCGCCCCTGCATGGCTCTGCACTGGCTCCTGCAGGCAGCTTCCTTTTGCTTTAGGTCTTCGACTTCCCTATCTGTAAAAAGCACGAAGGTCGGTGGCAGATTTCCTCACCAGTATGTGGCGCAGCAGCTGCACAGGGATTGAGAGTTGTTTGAGTGATATCAGCGTAGAAAACATCTTCATGAAGTTACACAGAGAACAGTGTTAACTTAGTTTGAATTCTGGCCCGGGGCTTCTGCTCCGCCTTGGACCATTTAAGTTCCCGGAAGGAAGACACACTCACAGCCTTTGTATTTATTATAAGCCTTAAACAACACAATATCTGGGCCGCTGCCTACCCTCCATGCTATTAGAATCTACTTTCCTACCAATAACCCCCAGAATTATTACTATTTACTATGTTTCAACTCGGCTGTTCTTAGCTCCAATTGGGCTAGTTCACAGGGCCATGGTTTTTGTGGCTGAGCTAACCCGTGGCAGCTTCTCCTTCTCCCTCCTGTATGTTCTTCTCTTCTTCCTCTGTCCCCAAGCCCGGGTAACCTAAAGCCCACCTTTGTCTCTTCTGCCCAGCTATTGGCTATTAGCATCTTTACTCACCAATCAGAATTAACTTGGGGGCGGGGTCACAGGGGCTACTTGCCTGCAGTTAGTATTAGAATAGACAGTGGAAGACAAAACCTCTACAGGGCAGGTCAAAGCACTGAATAGAGCGCCTTCAACCAATCATACCACTTTCCTTGAAAGTGATGTTATGTGATGTCACACGTAAGCATCAGAACTTGGCTTCATTCTTAGAAGACCAGGCTATAGTAAAAGACTATGTTAGAGCATTGATAACTTGTATCCCCAAGAGAGTACTCTTATCGGCTCTTGCATACTGACCAAATTATCAGTGAGTTGGGAATTAATTATACCCCGCAGTATTAGAAAATATCAACAGCACAACCAGTCAATAAATATACTGAGCCCTTTCTAAAACTCGCTAATAGAATTTTTAATGAATTAGGAATAAGGCCTATTTAAATTATTCAGTTTTGAATCAACCACTATCAACTTCATTAAATTTTGCAGTAAAAATTTATTCAGTCAGTCATTCAATATTTATTAACCCATGTACTCAGTGGGGAAATAAAAAGAATGCATGGCAGATGTTCACCCTCAAGGCCAAAGGTGGTACAGTGTCCACCTCTGTGTCTGATTGCTATCTGTGCAGGTGATGCTGGCTGGCTGGTGGTCAGAAGCTTGTGAGCTGTGTTGGAGTGTTAGGTCCATCCTAGTGTGCACACAGAGAGCTGCCTGTGAATCAGGGTTGACCTCATAGTGCTCTCAACATAGAAAGGACCACACCACGCGGTCCCTGTTCCTGGCTCGAACCTGAGTATGTTTATGTAAACCTTACAAAGACAACATACTATATGCCTAGACTGTTTTTGCAGGAAGTAGTAATATTCCTTTGTTCCCTCCACCCTTCTTCCTTGAAGCCACTCTCAGTCACCGCTGTGCCTTCCACTGGTACCCACTCTTGTAAATGCCTCCTCTAAAAATGCAAACCAGACCATCCCTTTCTAGCACAGTGATATCTCTCTCCCATTGCTTCATCTGCCCCATTATAAAATGTCACAGGATAATGAGGAATTAATTTCATTTGATTTATTTAATAATATTTACCCATTTAATGTTTTTTTGTAACTCTTTTGGGAAATAGCAGTGAAAAGACGGCACAGTCTGTGTCCCCTTGGGGCATACGTTCTAGTGAGAGACAGACATTAATTAAGCCATTACACAAATAGCTCAACAGTTAGAATTGGGAGCCGTGACATTTAAGGAGAGGAAAGGTGCTCTGAGCTAGGGAACCTCAACAGGCTGACAAGGGAAGACCCCAACGCTTTACCATGGAAGGTAACGGGGATCCTAGAAAATGGACCTACAGCACAAAGGTGAGGGGATTAAACACTGAAGCCCATTGTGAGCAGATGCAGCAGCATCAGTCTGAGATCCCAGCTGCATAGGAGGGCGTGAAACAGGAGAATCTGGAGCTCAAGCCAGTCCCAAGCATCACAGAGAGACACTCAGCCTCATCCCAAACAAACAAACAAACAAACCAAAGACATAAAAACGCTAAAGGAACAGAGAGACTGGGGCTGCATCAGGATAGCGTTGCTAATTTCCTACATCATCTACAGTAGTCTCTGCAAACCTGCAAGGTTAGATAGACCCTTAGTCCTGTCTTTTGGCAACTAAGTATAACACTTTGACCGAGTGGTTACGTTAAATATTTTTACTGGAGTATGTTACATCAACTAAGTGCAACAAATATCCATCGGATTGCTTTCCCTGGTGTTAACTGGTTAAAAGCAAAGCAAATTTTCCCTTCAGGGTTATAGTCCAATTAAAAGTTATCGGTAGTGTACACACAAATACATGACATTATGTTACATATGTATGACATTATACTATGGTAATTTATATAATGCAATATTAGAGTTGTATAGAACTGTAGCTCTCAACTTTAAAGTCTTACATTTTATACTCAATAACATGGACCTACATAATATTCAGTACACTAGACCTTAAAACAGTACACTAAAAAACTTAAAACTTAACACATTTATTAATTTAAATATGACCAACAATAAACCAAAGAATGATAAATAAATTAATACTGAATCATGTAAATATACATCAGCATATATTAATATAGGATTTTTTTTGATTTAGAAGAAGAAATGGCATTGTTTTACATATTTTTCAGGTCTGTGTAAGAGTAGATAGCTGGATTTTCTTGTTTGCTTATGTCATAGTAGATATTAAAGATTGGTAGCTCTTACAAACGTTTACTTGTTTCCTTATCCAAAATGAGAAAAGAGATGTCACATTTCATAACATTACCTTCAGTCTCAACAAAAAAGCCATTATTAGGAAGCCATTAGGCAGTCAGGATGAAAACCATTGTGTTGAGTTCTAGGACTTGCTTGAAGGTTTAGGATATTGTCATTAATGACAAGTATGTTTTCTTGAAAGCATCTACCGGCTACCTACGTCTTTATAATCATGTTTTAGTCAATTTCTGTGGGATAGAATGCTTCCTGGTGCAGGGGGACATTTGAGTGCACAGTTCAGAAGTACTTTTCCCGGGGACTTCAGGGAACTTTGATGTGGGGATAGAGAACTTCACTTTATGAGAGCTTCTGTCTTTACATGGCATTAAACAGCTGGGAGCTGAGTGTGCCAGTTAGGGAGGCTCTGCAGCAAGGGGGAGAGCATGGACAGGAACTGACTGTAGGCACAGTAGGGCCAGCAAAGCGGTGACTTTCACCCTTCACCATTTTGGTTTTAAAAACCTTGTTTATTTTATAGATATGGGTATTTTGCCTGCGTGTATGTCTGTATACCACAAGTGTGTGTGGTGTCAGAGAAGGACATGAGATCCTCTGCAACCACAGATACAGAAGTTGTAAGCTCCCATGTGGGTGCTGGGAATCAAACCCAGGCCCTCTAGGAAGAGTAGCCAGTGTCCTTAACCACCGAGCCATCTCTTCAGCCAGCCTCCACTGCTCTTAAGCACCGACTTGCGGTTGTTAACACAAGGAAGACAAGTACCATCTTCTGTGTTATAGAAATGTTTTTCGTCTTTCAGATACCCTCTCCCAAAGGGTCAGGAGTCTTCAGAGGTGTCTGCAACACTCATGTACTGGCTTAGAAAATAAAAGAGACCTAGAATTTGCATAGGCGGTTAGAAGAGATTAGGAGAGCAAGAAGATGGCAGTCAAAACCCTGGTTAGAAAAAGTAAGGTCCAAGCGGATAGTTAGAATAGGGAGGGATGTGTTTATAATCTGTAGGTTCCAGTCAGAGCAAGAGCTGTGTGACTACCCAGCTGGGATGTCCAGGCTTTCCGTGGAATCATTGGGAGCAGCTGAACGATTTTGTCCCTTGTGGGACTTGAGGATGTTTAAGAGCTTTCCTATGGGGCAATGCATGGGGTGAATTGGAGAGCAGACAGTGTGTAGTGCAAATCCAGTTACTGAGAGCCTAGCACAGGCTGAGTGCTGCACAGAGGGACCTGAGGGTTAGGGAGACAGCTTTAAAAGGAAACTTGAGAGCTGTAGCCAGAAAGGTCAGAGGTTATCTCCACTGTATTTTATAGCTCCAGCCCCTTCTAAGGGCATTGTTAGAGAAACAAACACAATCTGGGTGTTTCTATAAAAGGTCCCCCATAAGGTCTGTCCTCCCAGATAACTGAGAATGCTTCCTTCTGATAACACATTTCCCCTTCATGCTCATGCCAGAAGGCTTTCCAGCCAGTGTTCATCTTAGGGTCACAACAGTTGAAGTGGTCTCAGTAGCTAGCACATTTTCTTCCATCTACCTTCTCTGACCCAACCTTTTATCTTTATTGACTGTTCATCATCCTTTCTGTATTCATTCTCCATGACAATGATTTGCCTTCTTTTAGTGGGTTGCACCCGGCTCAGCAGTTCAGGGTTCACATTACTTCTGCAGAGCGCCTGGGTTCAGTTTCCAGTGCCCATGTCAAGTGGCTCACACTCCCTGTAACTCCAGCCTCGGGAAAGCTGATGACTTCTTCTGGCCATCTAGAACACTGAACGCACATGTAGAAACCTACATTCAAACACACATACATAATAAAAATAAATCTCTTTTAAAAATAAGTGTTTTTTGAAATATACCATGTGGAAGGGCATTATATAGTTTAGTGGTAACCTTTATAGCTTTAGCATACTTTATTTATTGGGAGAATGGGACCTGCACTTTAGTCCTGTTTTCCTCAAAACTGAAGACAGCTCAAAAGTGTCTGATACCTCATACTAAAGCACCAAGAGTCAGTTTCATAGAAATTCATCAATCTCAACCTGGTTTCCACCTCAAAGTTAGCTAAAAGCAATGAAATGATAGGGTATTACAGTATCTACTAAAGGCAGTTCATGGCTAGGAATGGCGTGGGAGCAGAGAGAGAGAGAGAGACAGAGACAGAGAGAGACACAAAGAAACAGAGAGATAGACAGACAGACACACACAGGAGGAAGGGAGCTACAGGCATGAGCACCCAGCGATGACAAGGTTGTTAAATGTTCCTGACACAGGAACTAGGAGAGGACATGTTTAAGTAGAGAACACCTATGGCTCTCCCTTACTGGCCTTTGTCTGTACCCCAGACTTTAAGCTGGTTGTCTCGGCACAGAACCCTGTCATTCCACCATAGCTATATTAATGAGTAATCGCAGAAGGATAGCATGCATATACCAAGGCACATGACTGGCTGTCTGCAGTAGAGTTGGGATTTGAACCTGGATCTCTTGGACCCCAAAGTCCTCATTCTTTTTTCTCTTCTTGGCCTTCTTTCATATTTGCCTCCTAAGCAACAGTATGCATTATCTTGCTTTAAGATACCAAAAATACCATATACTGTGAGAACTATTCAGGCATAAAAGCTTGGCCACTTTTAAGAATGTGTGTGTGTGTGTACGTATGAATATGCATATATATGCATGTGTGTATATAAACATATACATACACATATGTATGTATATGTGTATATGTATATTTATACACATGTATAAGTATGTGTATGTATGTATATGTGTGTATATGTGTATATGCATACACATGTATATATACATATATACACAAACACACACATACATACATACATATATATATACACAGATCCTAGCCATATATTTACATACATATGTGTATGCACAGCTTCTAGCTATCTAGCCATGAGCTACTTTTAGTTGGTACTGTAGCAATGCTCTCCTTAGCTCACAGTCAGTCTGGATAGCTGTATCAGGAAGCTCACAGTTTGGATAGCTGTATCAGGAAGCTCACAGTCAGTCTGGATAGCTGTATTAGGAAGTTTGAAGTCTTAGCAAACTGCTGTGTTCATTCTCAGCTGAGGAACCTGCTGGCTAGTGCCTCTTTATCTAAAAACAAAACAACTGTTGACCTGGGAGCACGTGACATGAACGATGGAGCAAAGTGGGCCGTTTGCAGCTCTGAGTTTGGTGAATAGGACCTCCTAGTGTTCAAACGTATTTAAAATGTTGCTAACGAAGAAGGAAAACACAGGTGGGTGAGGAAAATATATGGCTACAAAGTAACATCGAAATTATTGTTCCCAAAAACCAAAAATCCTACAACTCACTTTATAGGTAGGGCACCATGAAAATGCACCAAGACCCCAGGAGCTGGTGCAGTACTATTTTGGTTCCAGCCGATTCCAGAATATAAGGTGGGAGCTTTTTCCTAGACCTTCAGAAGTGTAATTTAGGACAGCCATCTTGTTTGAGGTAGAAACCCCACAGCATCCTTCTGAAGATGGTGTAGACTAAAATTTCAGATAGACTCAAAGTTTTACACCAGTGGATGGGCAATGAATCGGGCATCTGAGATCAGGAGGCCAGCCTCCGGGAGGAAGGTCCTTCTCTCTCATACAGCTTAGATTGTACCAGTCATCTTGAGCTGATCGCTGCCTCTTATCTAGTGAGCAGGATGTTGGAAATTCCTTGTAGTCTCCCCTCTTTGTTTTTTGCTCATACCGCCACTGACAGCTGAAAATAAACAGATAATAGTTTATTCTAGAAAAGAGAATTATAAAAGAGCTACCACGGGCTCTTCTGCTTTCCCTTTTCATCCTTTGACAGTTCTTTGCTGTTTTATTTCTTCCTTTTAAGACTAAACTGAGATTCCCCCACTCCCCCGAAGGTGGAAAGCCCATGGGAAAACAGGAAATTAAAAAGAAGGAACTCGTGTTGATGAGATTGGTCACACTGAAGCCCTTAGGGCTTAAGAGAAACTGTGAGGATAGCTCCCTGCTCAGCAGGAAGGCACCTGACTGGAGTCTCTGGTAAGACTCCGTTTATTTCCATAGCTAGTTAGTTCTCTGTGTGTGGTACTTTGGGTAGGACCCAGGACCAGGCTAATACCACTGAGTCATCTCCAGCCCCAATGGACTCCTTTTAAGGAGATTTTTGTTTCCAAGTTCTGTTTTCATATGTCTTCTGGTCTAGTTCAGAATATTTAAGGATATTTAAAATTGTGCAAGAATGCCAGTTGACTAAAGAACTGAGCCCTTGTCATGAGCTCGAGGGAACCAGTAACAACGATGCTTGAGAAGGCGTGCCCTTCTCATCCTTGCTGGCATCTGGCATGTGGAGTCCTGATAATAGGACCATGGCGTTTAGCAAAGGGGAACAAAGACAAGACGCACACGCTGAATCGGGAGGCCGTGGCGTGTAAGAAGAAATTTTAATGATACAGTCCGCTATTTACAGGCAACCACATCTGTGCCTTGTGAGAAGTAACTGAAAATAACAAGTTCCACCACTTGGGGAAAAAATGTGGAAATAATTTACAGCTAAAAGATAGCACTTTTAAGAACTTGACATCAAATTTATCTTGAAACCAAAACCACGATAAACCAAATAAGTAGAAGGTTCTAAATATAGAAAGATGTATGGGTTGGGACGCATAACCGATGTTTGGTGGTTGCGAGGGTGGCCTGTAATCTTTGATGAAAAGTCAGCCGGTGCTCTAGTGACCTTCTGAAATGAGCACATTTCAGTTTAATGTCCAGATGAAAATAACAGGGTCAGCGCTGCGGAACCCAGGGCAGGCTGACGGAGCCTGGAGTATGTCTCCCAGGATGCACTTGGTGCGCATGAGCGCTTTCCAAGGTCTCTGCTTATACAGTTCCGTCTTCCCCACAACCACAGGCTGCTGCCTCTCTAACAGTGTCTTAGCCAGGATCACCCTGCGTCAGGTGGACACCAGTGTCCCCAGTAGTTACAGAACATTACTTCTGCAGGTAACTTACAGCAGGGCTCCTTCAAAGGTACACAGGGTCCTCTGCTGGCCCTTCCCTCATATCCCCAGCACAGCGTTACCTTTGAAGACATACAGGTGCTCTTCCTGACTTAGCAGTCCTCTTGTGGCCGTGGGGTTTTCCGATTGAACCATTCCGGGTCTCGTGAGTTTGTTCTGTGCTATTCTTTGCCCTCTGGCCCATTTTCCCTGTGTGGCCTCAGATTTCACCACCAAAGTTCAAGAGAATCTATTTAAAAATCCAGTTAGGTCAAAGGTGGCAATAGATACTACTTAAAAATGGAGGAATTCCTTTGGGCAGGGCCTGGAATAATGTTAGTGCCCTCTAGTTAAAAGGTCCAAAAGAAAAAAAAACAAAAACAAAAACAAAATACACGGTTTGGCTGTGGTGGTGGGAAAGTAGAAAGCTGGAATCTAGGAAGGGTGGCGCCTGGCGCACTCACGGTCTTACACTGTGCTGCTGGTGGGTGTATGATTTAGATGACGGTTTAGCAACTCGTGTATCAGAAGCCTTTGAACAGGCCGTAGCACTTAGAAATCTGCTTCCAGAATTTAGCCTAATGAAATACTAATTGAACATGTGCACACATACATATGTACAAGGAAGCACATTGCAGCAGTGTTTATAGAAGCAGAAAATTGGAAGCAACTTCTGTGTTCATCAGTGGAGGAACTGTTTAGCTAAATTATATTGCAGCTATTAAACACGATGATTCAGAGCTTTATATAAAGCTAGGAGATGTCTCTGATCGATGTTTGTAAAACAGTGTGTGCATACGGTGCCATTTTAGTTAATGTGGTTGGGAGCAGGCTTGGAAGGATCCTCTAAAAATATTTCAAAACTCAGCTCATTTCTGAGAGATGGGGTTACATATGACTTTATTTCTTCCTTTATACTTTACCGTGTTGTTAGGAGTTATTTTGTAATGAGCATATTTTTTTTTTTCCATTAGGAGCAAAAGAGTCTTTGTAGTTTGGGAGGCGGGGTGGGAAGTCTGAGATCTTAATATATGGAGAGGTCCAGAGTGAGCAAGCACTGGTCTGCCTTCAGAACAGAGAGCCAAGGGGAGACTGATTTATACAGAAATCACTGGGTTATTCCTGAGTACATGTTGATTGTCACAGAATCAACAGCAAATGTTCTTGGAACATCCTGAGACACACTCTCAAAACAGCCCTCACTTCAGGGCCTATCCTCTGTGAGTGGGCTCCTTTGCCTGTTTCTCTGAAGTCAGCAATCTGGAATGCCTGGTCTGGTTAGAGGGAAGCTCATGTGTGCCGGCTCTGTGTGCCCACACACTTCTGCCTTCCCTGTGACTAATCTGTTACGTCCTACTCTTCCCTCCCCTGCTTTCTTCAAATATTTGTCTTTCCCTTCAGCCCTCAGCCTCCTGTCCTGTAGCCGCAGTCCTGGAACTTTTATGGTTCAATATTTGGCTTTTGACATTGACTCCCCATTTGCATTTTGATCAAAATAAAAGGGGTGAAATTTGTCCTGCTTTGCAGCATGCCTGTATTATTGAACAGAGGAAAACATGTCACTTTTTTATATCTTGCATCTTTCTAGTAGTTAGGAAATGGAACTATGTCACTGGTAGTATGCAAATGAAGTTAACTTCTGTGTTTTTAGATCTGTGTTTTGCTTGAACTGAACTGTGTGTGTGTGTGTGTGTGTGTGTGTGTGTGTGTAAGAGAGAGAGAGAGAGAGAGAGAGAGAGAGAGAGTGTGTTCAGGGTTTCCTGAAGAATGGATGGTACTGTATTTTTAATTTAGTTCTGTTATGAACTAAATTATGCCCCTTCCTCCCTCCCTGCATGGTCTTAGAATTAATTACTTTATTTTTCTAGTCATACAAACCATGGAGTGCAGTTCTTTGCTACGCACATACTGCTCTTTAATTATATGAAAATTTTAATATTTTTAATAGCGCAGCTTCTCAGCTCTTGTTGGAAAACAAGCCTTCCTTTCAGCCCGGTTTGTGTGCCGTGAATACCGTTGGCCCAGATGGGCCTGGAGCAATCCAGTGTTTCAGGTTGTCGGGAAATTTCTTCAGATGCAATCAGTGTCACCGTCCAAGGGTCAGACCCCCCTCATGCATAAGCATGAATTTGAGCAAAGACTCCAGGACAGCCACATCTCATCCTGACTGTGAATAAATAATTTAAATTCAGCATTTCAGACAATAATAGATTCTGCTGGAGTGAGGTGGGACTGGGTTCCTAGGCAGGATTGTTGAAGAACCATCTTAATGACATTTGAAATGTATGGGTCTAGAGCAGTGTTGACAGGTTGTTTTGTAGTCACAGAAATACTGATGTCAAGGAGCCTGGGAGTGTTTATTAGTGAGGGAGTGTTCCACTCTGCCTGCCCTGAGTGACACACAGCACCTCCATGCATGCAGTCCTTTCCTCACCCCTACACCACAAGTCCATCCAGGAGACAAACTCCACATGGCCCTATCATTTCCCTCTGGTGTGACTAACATCCTCCTTAAGGGAAAGCTCAATGCCACATTTCAACCAGATGGCCTAGGTGGACTTTCCCCACCAAGTTGTTACTAGAAAAGATTCCCTTGGGCACATTCTCGCTGGGCCACTGCCCTATAGTCACCTGAAGTTCCACTCGAGTCAGTGAGTGGAATGAAGCCCTTCACGTGTTTCCTTGAACAACAGCCAAGAGGACAGACAGGTTTGACCTCAAATTCACACTCATCTGAAGGCACTGAACAAAGTAGTTTAACTTTTTTCTTTTACCCTTTGAGAATTCCATACATGACACAAGATATCTTGATACTGTCTTTTTACTCTGCCTCCCCTTCTCTTCCCCCCCACATCTTCTCCCAGGATACTGTCCATGGCTTATCTCCCTGACAGTATTATGAAGGAATATTTAACTGGCCTGATCTAATGTAGGTAACCACAGTTGCTGTTCAGTTCATGTATTCAATAGCCGTGTCCTGTCCAGAGAACAGCACTTCACAATATCTTCTGCCTTTTATACCACCTTCCTTACCTTCTCTTATGTTCCTTGAGCCTTGGACGGGGGGAGGGGGTCACATAGATGTCCTGTCTGTGGTTGAGAAGTCACAGCTTTTCTCTTAGCACTTTGAACAGTAATGCATCTCAACATTGACCACTACCTGTCATATATATATAATTTTCCTTATTCTTGAAAATGTCATAGATGTAAACATTAAAATATCATATTCAACACCCTCCCATTTCTTTCTCCAAGTCCCCTCCAATATGTCCCTGTCTCAATTGCTTTTCTCTTGCTGTAAAGAGACAACATGATCAAGGCAACTTATTTTTAAAAGGCATTTAATTTGGCACTTAGGGTTTCAGATGAGGAAGGTTAGAGGACATGATTGTTGTGGCAGGAAGCATCGGAGCAGGCAGGCATGATGCTGGAACAGAGGAAAAGAAAGATAACCAGGAATGGCTAGGGCCATGTAGAGTTTGTCTCCTGGATGGACTTGTGGTGTAGGGGTGAGGAGAGGACTGCATGCGTGGAGGTGCTGTGTGTCACTCAGGGCAGGCAGAGTGGAACACTCCCTCACTAATAAACACTCCCAGGGTCCTTGACATCAGTGTTTCTGTGACATCAGACCTTGCCTCCTAATCTTCCCAAACAGTTCCACCAAGGCCACACCTCCTAATCTTCCCAAACAGTTCCACCAACTATAGAACAAACATTCACATAGATCACCCTATAGGCGCCATTCTTATTCAAACCACCACAGTCCCCCGCCCATGTCAGTGAGTGTTGCCCATGTGTGTGTGGATGTGGGGCCATGCACTTTACCTACCAGTTGGAACCAGTGGGGTAAAGAATAATTCTTCCTCCCACAGCAGCTATCAACTGCCAATCTCTTCTTCTTAAAGGATAGTGCTTGGAGAGCACTTCCCCACCCCACCCCCCCACCCCGTCTATGTTAGAATTTTGGCCTGCTTTTAAAGCAGGTAGTCACTGTTGCTATGAGTTCATGAATCTGATACCCATGTCCAAACATAAATATTTAGAAGGTGGTTCCCTAAAAGACTTGAACATTGAGCACATTGGTTCTCAACCTTCCTCACACTGCAACTCTTTAATACAGCTCCTCATGTTGTGGTGATCCTTCAACCAACATCCTCCACAGGGAGCCCACAACCCAACAGATGATAGTGTTTTGTGTCTTACTTTGGTGCAGTGACAAATGAGTATATGTTGTGTTTTGAACCCTCATTAATGGGGAATCATCAGGCAAGGTTGGCACTGGATATTGAACAGTGGTCTCATGGGAGTCCGTTGTCCTCAGGACCAGGTTGGGTGGGGCTATAAACAGATGGAGTGTATTATAGACATGATAATACTGTAACTAGAAGTTTGCAGACATTCTTTTAGGAAGAAGGATGAACTGTAAAGACCAGAAAGGATGCTTATTACCTTGACATTGAAAACATATGTCCAAGACTTTCAGGGTAAAAGTTAGGACATATCTTTGATGACCATAAGAATTAAATTTCTCAGTGAGAAAGCTGATAACTATATGTAAGTTCTTGTCTCTAAAATGAGTTTACCTGATAAATTATAAACTTTTTCTGTAAGCATTTCTAAACTTAAGCTGCTAAAGAGGAATCGTTGAGCTTCATGAGTTTGACTGTTAGTTTCTGTGTCATTTGACTCAGGCAAAAAGAGCAAACAATTCAGTAGACACCAAGAGGGTAGCCAGGGATACATGATCTGTTTCTGAATTTTCAGTCACTTAAAAGATGATCGACGTTTGTTTGTAGAAACTATTAAAAATTTTTCCTCCTCTAGATAAGATAAAACTTCAGAAAAGGAATGTTTTAGGTTACCTGTGATTTTAGTGGGCTACTATCTGAGTTAGGCCTGTAAGTGAAATTTATACTGAAAAATCCAAAAATTTTTTTCCCAGAAACAAAATGTTTCTGTTCTTCTTCTTCTTCTTCTTTACTTTTTTTCCCCTTTCTTTTAAATTTAAACGTGTTCCTTCCTCACAGTTCCCTGGTAGTATGTCTTCTGCCAAGAGTTGAGAGCTTTGGATTTTACAGCAGTAGGAGGTTAGCTGGCACCCTTTTCCTGGCAGCCCATCCTAAGTTCCGTATCAGACCATTACCATTACAACACAGGTAGTTGTTGCCAACTGACGAGGTCTTCATACAA